TGCATAAGTGCACCATCGTGCCTCCCGTCCCTGTCCTATTGTCCCCATTTATTCGTACCTACTTCCTGTATTCTGTTTATACTTATATCTATCATCTTATAAGCGATTGAGAAATCAAATAAATCAAATAAATAAGACTTAGAAACGCCACTAGAGGCCGCTAAAGGCTCTCATTATTCTCAGCCTGAGAAAACGTATTTCCCCCCACTTTATATCGTACACTAACATCCCGTTATCTCAACTGGAATTCCTCTACTGAGTGTTCAGTCTGAAAAAAAAAAGAGTCCCGTCTCGGGAGCCGTTCTCTAAAGGATACATATAAGGTCAGAAGCCTCGGGCTGTCGCTGGCCTTGAGCGTCGCAGAGAGGAATTCTTCCAGCCTCGTTTTTAAATCCGATTCCCAAGAATCCTGGAAAAACAAACACACCCACCGGTGAGAATTGTTACCAAACACCCAGAGCTCGTGACTTCTGCCGTCTCTGCCAACCCACCGAAACTCTGAGAAACGAAGGGCATTGGCTCAGAGAGAATATTCAGGGGAATATTTATAAACGCGCCGGAAGACCTCGGCGGGGTTTCTGCGAGTTAAATACAATCATGGACTTTGAAGATGGGCTTTATTTTAAGCTCGTTTATTTCGACAGCTTTTCTTTCATTAACCGACAGATGCGGTGTCAGGGTTCGCTAAATGAACGGTTGTAAGTTGATGACTACCGGCGTTCAGGCTGGCCTAGGCTAAGCTGGTTACGTCGCATCCCTTGTTCCAGACCGAGGAGCCGCTGTTCCTCGTCAAATCAAGGACGTACCCGGAAAAGCTCTTTGAAAGAGGGGTGGATCGTTGGGTTGGGCACGAAAGGCAGGGCGTAAAAAGGGAGGAATTCCGTGGTCTGGCTCAAAGCTGCCCCTTTGGTCTCCAGGTAGGTTTTGAAATAGGCAATCCTTTCGTCCAGAGCTGCTTTATCCTGAGGAAAGAAAGAGAGAGGGGTGAGGAGGAGGGCAAGTGGGGTCTATTTTTTAGCATTTACTGATGGAGTTCTGGAAGGATTCACTCTTTAAACTCAACATCGGATCTTCAGCCTCCAGGTGCCCCGTTATCGATAGGTTGAGGTTGAGACGCTGGAAAGAGTGCAGAGAAGAGCAGCAGAGAGGATGAGGGCAGGGGGGTCACCAACCTTTTGGACCTCAGGGACGCCCAAACTCATCATGTTAAATCCCGCGGACCAGAGACCCTCGGAAAATTCCCCCCAAAGTCTGCACTCCGTATTTCCTACCGATCGATCGTTCTTTAATTTGGGATGGCAGGATACCGTCTCCAGCTCCGTTCTCAGGGAGAGAGAGAGAGAGAGAGACTTTTGGCTGCATGCAAGGAAAACAGCAGAAGCCGCAGAAGTCTTCCTTTTTCTCCCCCAAATTCCGCCAGAAATGAGTCTTTGCCGGCGCAGCCTCTTGGAGCAGGAGGACTTGCAGGGTCCCAAAGACTCGTTTATGGAGGAGTTTGGGGGAGAGAAAGAAAGACTTTGGCTGCTTTCCTTGCCTGCAGCCAAAAGCAGGAGAAGAAAGAAGCAGAAAGAAGCAGCCCGGTGGCCAGGCGAGGCACGTGGGGCAAGCTCCCCCCTCCGTCCCTTCCCCCTCCCCTCACTGCCTCGTGTTGTTCGCAATGCAAGCGACGCAAACCTTGTGTTCCCGCGGGCCATATGGGCGGCACAGCCTTATGTTTCCGCGCAGCCTGGATTAATTGCTTTGGGGGGGACATTGCGGACCACCAAAATTTTCTCGCGGACCACCAGTGGTACCCGGCCCACTGGTTGGCGACCACTGGATTAGGGGACTGGAGGATAAAACATACAAAGAACAGTTTCTGGGATTGGGTAGGTTTAGTTTAATGAAAAGAAGAACAAGGGGTGACATGATAGCAGTGTTCCAATATCTGAGGGGCTGCCACAGAGAAGAGGGAGTCAAGCTATTCTCCAAAGCACCTGAAGGCAGGACAAGAAGCAACAGATGGAAACTAATCAAGGAGAGAAGCAACCGAGATATAGATTAGATAGATTGATATCTATCTATCTATCTATCTATCTATCTATCTATCTATCTATCTATCTA